GGAGAAGATGATCATGGTGGGAGGACGTTCTGTGAAGAAGAAATAAGAAGGAAAGAAAAAAAAATACAGTATATTTTAGCTTTACGCGCCTAATTCTAAGTGAGATTCACTTTTTGTGCCACATGAGCAGGAAGTATTCAATAGGTACATTTTGGTAAGAGTTGAAGCGTCTAATAGGTATAAGAATTTGTTAAAGTGTTTAAACGGAATTTGGAGCCTAAGTTTAAGGGGATATCTATGTATTTGACCTAGGATTTAACAAGCAAAGACAGAATCCGAATTTTAACAATATTTAATGTTTTCTTAAAAAAAATAGAGTTTAAAGAAAATACTGGGTTCAACCGAATTGGTAACCTAAACTCTAGCACTATGCCTCAATTTAAGCTATATTCAATAACAGTTAAATTAGTTTTGTATTTTTTTTTTTTTTTGTGAACATGGTCCCATGACTTCAGCAAAAATTTGGTATCACGCATTTAGCAGTGTACCATGAATATGATACTGGGATTCCGCGCGTCAGCTTGTCCTATATGTGCAACTGGAATGCATCAAAACTTTTTGTAATTTCAAGTGAAATACTATCATTTTAATTGTACATAAAACAACTCAGTGACGGTCATTATTTATTTTTATTTTTTTGAAAACTTATTTCTGAATAAAATTAAATTGTTTACTCTGTCACCCTTTTTTATTTAATACATGAAGACTTAAATGTCGCATACAGTACTATTTAAATTAGGATCCCCATTCATTGTATTAAAACTTTGCAAAATAGTGCAAGGGAGATTCATGTATTATATAGTAGGTACGTATACTCATTACTCAAGCAGAATTAAGCAAGAGGAGGAAATAAACATTTTTTAAGGACTATTACTGGATACCAACTTTAAAGATGTTTGGTTCTTGTACAACATATTACATATATATATATATATCACATCTTGAATTTGCGTGAGATTCCAAAATTGACGGTTAAGCGCTTGAATAGTCTCCATAAACCATTGAGCAGGTTCAAGGGCAACTTCTCAAGGTACTGAATTTTTTTGCGTCCTACTTTTTGTTTGTTTTGCTTTTGTGTGCATGTCCCCAGATTATACTGATATTCTAATAGTATACTTTTTATTCATGTGGAGCATTTTCTCCTAGCTTCTTGACATCACATATGCTTAATGAATTACATGAACACGTTGACTCAATTAACATCACCAATGATAATAAGTTCTTAGTCATTTTAAGCGGTCACTAATGCTTGCATTAGGGTAGGTAGAGGCGGAGCTAGGATTTTAAATTTGTGGGTTCCGAATTCTAACACTTTTATGTCACTGAGTTCTGGATTAATAATTTGCACACATTAAATGAATTTTTGAAGACAATTACAGAGTTTGTACCAAAGTTACTGGGTTCGGCCGAACCAGCACAACAGTCTCTAGCTCCGCCCTTAAGGGTGGTCAATATTACATGTTGAATTCGTGATCTCACAGATGTTAGATAAACTACAGAAGATAGTTGGCCCCAACTAACTTGGAAACGAGACATACTTAATTGATTAAAGGTATTGTGTGGATGCAGCAAATTCAGATAGTATTAATTTCAGGATGAATTTTTGTTAATCTGCTTTTCAACTCAGTAAGCAGGGCCAGGATTGTTCTTCATTGGCCTTTAAACTACTTTTCTATTAAACTGAATAACAAAAAACTAGACAATAAACTGCCCATAAACACAAGGGACGTGACTCTTCAATCACATCCTAATTTGCAGGGGAATTACACAGCAAAATATAAACCTCTCACCAGAGGCGGAGCTAGCTCATTCGGCGCGAGTTCGGCCGAACCCAGACACTTTTGCTTAAACGATGTAATTTGTATTAGAAAATTCATTAGATATATATAAATATTTAATTATGAACCCAGTAACTAAGACGAGCTATGATTCCGTAACAATTTCAGGACCCATAAACTTAAAATCTTCGCCCCGTCATTACCTCTGCCTCTTATTTGGGAGGACAGAAAGTTACCAAATATCTAGAAGCCCTACATGTATAAAGACTGGAAGCATCATCAAATGCATAACTATAAGCCTTTGGGCAAATAGCCTTAAACAGATGTGCAAAAACAGTTGGTTTGCAAGTTTTGGGATTTGCATACTCTCCTGTGCAGCAGTATTTTGGTGATTGTATAGCCAAACATGCACTTTTGCACCCTACCACTTTCTCTCCAGCTTTCACTTCCAATGCAGATGGACAACATATGTTTAAATCAACTTCACATTCTGCTATTCCACAACCAACACCTCCCCCCACAGGTTTCATCGATACAGGCAAGTTAAACCCATCGACTAAGCTCACATCGTAGAAATGTAAAGGTGAAGTCGATGAGCCTAATGTCATTTCCACAACAGTAGCCGGGGGTTCACCTCCCATCCCCCGGCACTGTAGTTGGCTACCACAATCTCCCGTATCACATTTTCCTTTCCCATTCTCGTCAAAATGGCAATTCTGTCTACCCCATATTCTACCCGACCACTTCTCAGGCACGTCGAGGACTATTTGCTCGCCACTGTTGAGGTGAAAGCCGCCATCTTTTAGAGTAGTCTGCCCTGCACCGCCAAGAATTCCTGGCCATATGCTCTCCTTGCAGTTGTTTACTAGAATGACTTGTGTTCCATCTGCAGTCAAAAAAATAGCTAATGTATTCAGTTTGAATAAGTCGTATCTTGCTTAGACTAATAGATAGCGTTGTTCCAATACAAAGAAGAGAAAATGAGTTAAAGTTGAAGAATTACCAGTGCTAAAAAGAAAGAGAAATATGCAGAGCAAAATAGGGACAAGATAAGGCGAAATAAGCATTTTGGAAGTTGGCTCTACTAAGTGAGAATAAGAGCTGATGATCAGTTTTCTGGACAAGGACTCAGTTTTTAAAGGACAAACTTACTCTTTAGGGGTGAGGGCTTGTGTACTTACTACTTTATGTCTCTTTTTTTTTTTTTTTTTTTTTTTTTTTTTTTTTTCTTTTATCGATATTTTAATATGTTGTTTTGTTTTAGCTTTTTCTTTGGAATGAAAAGGAATATATGCATTGCTTCAAGTGGAGGACTTGTACTTACCTGTTTATAAATGGGAGTGGCAAATATCACACAGTTAAAGTTTGAAGAAAATGTTCAAGGGCTTTACAGGTCAAGATGAGTCATCACTCACCAGATGTATGTATGAAATTGTATTAAATAATCAAGCAGATAAGTTTGGACATCATTGCGTATCTTCTTCCACATTTTCGGTAACGTGATTGTTGGCAAATTTAACCTAATCAAGTAGAGCAAAATATTTATGGAGTTGTATTGCCGGTTCCAAACTCGGACAAAAAGGAAAATAGATGTAACTTAATGGACAACGTAAAAATGATAAATCATATGAATATGGAGAGCTTTAATGGAGCGGAATGAACGTATATAAAAGATTTATATAACCACCTTTAACTAATTTGAGACTAAAACATATTTTATTGAAAATATGTAGTGTCTTGAGCTAATCACAATTTGCTTCGAGGAATTTTCATAAAGCACTATAGTTTGTCTTATTACTATTCGTAGCTAATGTTCAGTTGTTATCAGCTTGGATCACTTTTGTAATATATATGCACATAAAAGCGCCTATTTAGTTAGCAAAATAGCATCCTAGAAGAAAGAATCATGAAATTTTTAAACATATTCATAATCTGTCTCCTTGTAATGTTTTATTGGTACAACAATAACAACATATCCAGTGTAATCCCACAAAGTAGAGTCTAAAGGAGGGTAAAATATATGCAGACCTTACCCCTGAGCTTTGTGAAGGTAGCTTGTAATTTTTTATTTGTATTCATAATTAATTATGAATGAAAAAAGAAGGAAAAGAAAGAAGATTCATTTTATACTATTTCAAGCAAAAGAGAGCAGATTAAGCGAAAGAGAAACAAGATTATTTTTGTCCCAAGGAGAAAATCGTCGTAACTTTGCAATGGTGTGTAGTAGAAGCAATCTTCTGAGTCTTGTAAAGGAAAAGGGCGGTCTCTAATATTTATATCCTGACATGATAAAGAACTGTCTATTAATTTCCGAAAGGGGATTCCAAAAGAAATGACATTAATAGTACTAAATAATATTATTCTTGACAAGGAAGATTTTTTAGGGTCCTTAAAGTGTTAATAAGCTATACATCACTTTCATAGTAGCTAGAAGTAAGATTCCAATCTGTCAAATCCGACCAGCGCCTACTTGTGATAAATATTACTATTTTTTTTAGAAAGAGAGAGAAACAAAAACACAGAAAAGAAAGGAAGGAAAGAGTAGAGAGAACTTGGAGAAATGTATAATCTAAGTCTATACTGCTATATCGATCACAACAATTGGAACTTAATCAATCATACAAGATTTTCATATTTTTTTTTAGAATTTAGAAGTTGCAAGAGAAATATAATACTTTACCGCTTCAATGTTTTGGTCTAGCGTTAAGAGTGCACTACCCTGTGGGTAGGCTCACTTTACGAGTACGAATCATACCAACAAGTTAAGAACCTAGTATTTAAGTGGAGAAGGATAAAAGTATGACCCATTATCCATCAAATTTTAAACAGTGTGGCAATGACCCCAGAAATCTCATGATTGTTAAACAAAAAAAGAAAAGAAATATGGTCGAGTATAATCAGTAGGTTTCCCAGTAAGGGACAGGAAGAAATAGAAACTACGTGCAAGGCTTACTTTCAAGCCCTACCACTTAACTTACCAGAGCTTCACAGCAGTGATCTGCAACCTCACAGTTCATCATACTTTTTTTTTTCTTTTTTGATAAAAGTTGTGTCTAAAACAACTTATAGGCACCTCGACTAATCCACTGGGTACCTCCACCGAGACCTGCATATTGTCTTGGTTTCTAGTCCTTTGCATCACAAGTACACTATTACATTTGAGTGTCAAATGCTACCAACACCCTCCAACAATTGCGTGCATGATAGATCCAGAAGTTGATGTACAAGAACTCACTTTCTTTTAATGATTCACCGAAAATAGAGATTAAAATGAGGTGATTCAGTGAATCAAAGATGAGTATTCCACAGATGGACTACATAGAAGTACATAATAAGAATATACTTCACTGATACAAAATCTCAAATAAAATCAGGACTTAACTCATTAATTAATCTTTACTCCCATCTACTCGACCTGTGACAACTAAATCAGGAGCTCTGGCCCGTGTCTGAACTTCTATTTTCTGTGAACGCTCTAGTTTGCATATTGGAAACTTTGCCACCACTTGACATCAAGGAATTGACGGAAGACTTCAGAAATAATGTATCAAAGCCAGGGCTTACCGATCTGACTCCTGATGATGGTTCACTGCAACTCATATGAGGAAAAACTGAAACCTGATCGTCCCTCGTTTGTGGATTTTAGTTCTAACTTCTGAAAAGGGCTGCCAAAATAAATTCAATCACATTCTCATCAACTTTGGAAGAATTAAGTTCTGTCGTGAGAAGGTTACAGTAGTCCGAGAAGGTTCATGAGCACATTGATAGGCAAATATATAGGAAAACCATAAAGAGAAAGAGCTTGGTAAAGATGATACCTGCTATTGGGATCATAATAGAAGCCATTGATGGAGCCATCACTACAGGAGAAGCACACATAGTAGAAACCAGCGATTGTCAACCCACAGTCTGTTCCAACATTTACGAAGTATTGTTCTTTCCATCTCTGCACGCCCAAAGTTAGAATGTCACATCCCATGAGCTGCAGGCAAGCTTCCTTACCAAATAATCAGTAATAGAAGAAATGTTACCATGAATATGTATGGATAGTTACTCAGGTCCAGTGATTTACCACCATCGACCTCCACTTGGCTCTGGAAAGGGCAGAAACGATCAAGAGGGCTGAATATCTGCATTTAAAGGAGAAGCTTTGACTGCTTACCAGAAGGGGTGAAAACGATGGAAACTTGGTCCAGTGTTTTATATCATCTTCTGATCTGCTTATAAAACCAAACCAATTAGCTAAACTTCTATTTTTTTAAAAAAAATTAGTCAAAGCATTTGGAATGGATGTTGGTCAATGTAGAAAGCGAAGGAAAAGAGCATACGTGGCACCCCATTTGCCAGTGAAGAAAGTATAGTTCTTGGTGTCAACAATTTCTCCTTCCCAGAAAGTAACTACCTGGCGATACCACAAAGAAGTGGTGTTACCCTAGACATCTTGGAGGTTTGCACAGGACAGATATAAAAGAGCACTCAGAACATATTGGTTAACACTCTTTCCCGAAAGAGACGAATAGCAGAGGATAAAATTTCAGTTACACGCTGAAGACTAATCACAACTTGACAAATCACTCCATGGTAAGCTTATTCTCAATGGAAAAAAGGCTGCTAGATATTAGAGAATTTGCACCTAGCTGTATGTGTGTGTTGCCAGCCATCAACAGCAACTCTACAGCTTGAATTTGAGAATTAGGCAACTACTTGATTGTTGAAGGCTGATAACAATAGGTTTGAAGGGTCAGACGAGGAGATTCAGCTTCGAGTAACCACACTTACACATTCTGTGTTGTCAGCTTTACAGCTAGAGTGTATGGAGAATTAGGTAACTACTTGATTGTTGAAGGTGAAGAACAGATAAATGAGGTTGAAGGTAAGATAAGAGAAAGTTTTGAGCAGTGAACCGTACTCACATGTGTTGAAGAAAAGATTGTAAAGCTCTAACAAGAAAATAACATTAAAAAGAAAAATTAACTTGTATGAAGCAGAATCTTGATCCTAAAAGAGATATAACTGCAGAATCTTTGACAATGATTATTCATTTCTGAAAGTTCCTTTCTTACTTTCTCGTGCATTAAATCCAAGTTATTCACACATACATTCTGTCGGAACACAAACACTATGTTTTGGCCTTAATAATGTTTGGTTTGTCATGTGAGCTAAAAGTTCAAGATAGACACCAATTTTTTGTTGTCTATTTGACTTCTCTTTTGTCACACTCTCCATTCACAAGATTCTAGAAAAAGGCCATTGTACTAATGATGGTTCCCAAAGATCCAATATGGAACACTGGATCAAGGACTTCAAGAAAATACGTCTACTCTTTTATCTGCATGATGTCATGGGCTGCTTTCCAGACATGCCCCATGACCCCTTGGCCGCGCCCCATGGCGGTCTAG